GATGGATGGCCTGAAATGTCTTCTGATGCCTCATGATTGTGATTTCTATTGTTTACTGTTAAACGCCATTGACCATCTTCCATTTTTTTTCCATAAAGCTCAAAAGGGCAGCCTATCAATCGCGTACTTGTATCTCTCTGGCGTGTTTCATCATTGAGGTTCAATCTGTTAATGTATTGGCCACCTCTGTCACATTGCAAGTAAACGAACTTATCTCGCTCTGATCTTTTGATGGTTACTGCATACCCATGACTAAAGGCATGCGTTTTAGCATGATGGATAAGATCATCACGGCTTGCAAAGTAATCTTCTGAAGGTGGGGACAAGGACATAGTTGATATTTTCAAAAGTGACGAGATATATAAAATAACTGTGTATTTGGTTCGTTTACTATGATGAATTTAATATCACAATATTTAAGCGCATAAGTAAAAATTTTATAAGTATAATTAATATTTTATTAACAATTTTTAACAGAATCTAACACCGAAGGGTTTTAGTGAAGATTTATAGAAACTTTTAGAGCACTTTTGTTAAAGTAAAGCAAAAGGTAGATTTTTAAGTTATTTCTAACCCGTTGAGACGAATTTCACTAGATTTCAGGTGCTTCTTTTATACTTTTGACGTTCAATTTATATCTTAATCATTGTTTAGGGCTCTATCTATTTTTAGTTTATCATTAGTTATGGTCTTTACGGCATTCTGAAACAATTGGTGAGAAAATTGCAATCATCAACTGAACCGATAAATAATCAATCTTATCAATTCTGTCGAAAGATTTTTTGGTAACTATAATTACTTTTTACTTTTTCAGTTAGCAAGTCCAATCTGCATAGTTTTAACATTTTCAAGCAATTAATAACATAGGAACGCATATCGACCAAAAGATTTTTAATAATTATATTACTTTTTATTTTTTTAGTTAGCACCCAAATCGCATAATTACATTAGTAACAGGAACGCGTATCAACTGAAAAATCTTTTAGCAATACCTTTTACTTTTTTAACCAAAAGATTTTTTTCATTAGCTACAATTTTACTTTTTCAGTTAGCACGCACAACATAGAAATACATATTTGCCAGAAGATTTTTAGTAATTATTATTATTATTTACTTGTTCAGTTAGCACGTTCACGTCGCATAATTAACATTTTCAACAATTAGTAACATAGGAACGCATATCGACCAAAAGATTTTTAGTAATTATGATTACTTTTCATTTTTTTAGTTAGCGCGTCCAAATTGCATAATTAACATTTTTAGCCAT